TTATGTGAGAACATTCTGGAGTTGCACGAAAAGGAGAATCTTAATTAAGATAAGACTTCTCCGGAGTTATCCGAGGCACGACTCAGGGATCTGACATGAGAGTCTTATCTGTATGTTTCAATTAGTAGAACTATAATTGAGACAATTGAAGCAAGTCAGGCGTTCTTCCTGTACATTAGACGGGGAATATCTTTTTGCAGTTCCATCTCCTTATGAGGAGCGTGGCTTGGAATTTTGGTTATATCAAGGGTGAAAAAGGATTGTTTTTTGCAGGGCTATTCATCAAATCAAGTCAAACAATAGGCGGTTTATCATCACATTTATGTTCTTGCTTTGCCGAATCAAGTGAATATGAAGGGTTTTTTTTTATGGTTATATCTCGGCAGCAACAGTTGTTGGGATTTTGGTTATGCAAAAACATTTAAGGATGATTTTTAATATGCGTGTGCTTTGTTGATGGCTTGTGTGTTTTGCTATAATGATGATTTGTGAACTACGTGTGAGGGGCTAGGATTAATTGACGGGTTTCACGTCTAGTTGAAACCGTCCTAGTCGATTGGCGTATGCCTCGAGCTTGGGAGATCAGCGCCTTGAGCAACGAGCAATATTCGAGTTAGGATGGCGTGACCCATGCGTACCTGTGCTACAGCGAAACGAGCAAATGCCCTCGATTGACCTACCTCTGCAATCGCATGTAAAAACTTTTGCATGTGGATAAGTAGCTCGGTAGGGATACACCCCTAAGGGTGGTAACAACCCCTTAGGGAAGGTAATTTGTGCCCCACAAAAACCTATCCTATAGTAGGGGATAGCGAGAAGTGTAGTTGGCGCACTCGGCTAGAGCGGTGCGAGGACAACGTCACCAGACCTGTCTCGGCGGTTCGCGGGATTGTTTCGACATTGTCCTCATCTTGCCTCTGTTTTCTTTTGTTTACTCTTGCGTGACATGAGCGGGAGGGCCCTAGCCTTTTGTGGAAAAGGCGGGAGCCAATGCGCTCGACATCGTGATCGTGGAAGTGGTCGATGGGCCAAAGTGCGACCTTTAATGCAGTTCCACAGGAGGAGCAGAGGGGGTACTCTTTATAAGGGAATTCATGTCTGCTAGGCTCAAACTTGGACCTATCCCTATTTGTTATAGCATTAGACTTTCACACGACAGATTCAGGGATCGAGGCCTGTAAATGGTGATAGAGCGGTGGAGTGGTGGAGTGCTAGTGGAACTGGGAGAAGACCGAGGGGTTGAGGGTCCTACGAGGATATCCCCCTTGGTTTTGCCGCTAGTCCAAGCACGGGCCCGGTTGGTGGGACAAAAGGGGGGGTGCCTGATACCTCCACCTCCTTTTCTCCTCTTATGAATTATCCCCCACCCGCCACACTTCCCCAGTACTGTCTCAGTACTTACCACTTAGAACCATCACCCTTTACTATCTTGGTGGGGTAACCTACCTTAAACCACTAGTACCTAGAGCTATTTTTTTCCTTACCCTCTGGCTACCGGTACGCCGAGTCTGCAGAGCCTGGAGGTACCGATAGTTAGAGAGGCCGATCTTGGAAGAACCAGTGGCAAAAAAAAAAGAAATGAAACAATAAAAAACAACAACAACGCTAGGATGTGAATGCAGTTCGATATATTATTAGAAGTGATTGTGTGGGCGTATCAGCCCGGTGACCTTATTGTCAATTCTATAAAGCAGAAGAAGAAGAAAAAAAAAAATGTCTTCTTGCAGTCGGGATCGACTAAGTAAAAAAAAACCAAAAAAAAACCACTGTGACCGCTTTGGCCCTAAAAGTGGTTGGATCAATTCATCTATGCCCTAAACCGAGTTAGCCCTCAACGACGTCTGCTTGCAATTAGAATCTACAAAACTAAAAGAGAAAAAATAAAATAAAAAAAATACGGCGCAGTCAGGGTTATAGTTTGCAATTGCATTTCGAACTGCGTTTTCGAAGTTTAGACAGGGCCCAAGTTTCAATTGCAGTTGAAACTCGGGCTGGCCTTTTCTAGCAGTTCAGTCAGACACGTAGCCGTTTTTTTTTTTTTTTCCCTTTTTTTTTCCTTTTTTTCTTTTTCTTTTCTTTTCGGTTGCATGCCGCACCACGCCGCGCCGCGACTGGAAAAAAAAAGAAAAGAAACAAACAGCCCCATGGTTGGTCTACGACCGAGATGTCTCGGCCATACCCTAGACTGCCCATGACCGAGATGTCTCGGCCATACCCCAGACTGCCCACGGCCGAGATGTCTCGGCCACACCCCAGACTGCCTATGACCGAGATGTATCGGCCACACCCTAGATTGGTCACGATCGAGATGTCTCGCCCACACCCTAGATTGGCCATGGCCCAGATGCCGTGTGGTGGGGCGTGGAGGGGCCGCCCTACACAATTCAGAGGGATGGAAAACAAAGAAGAAAAAAGAAAGAAAAAGAGGAAAAAAAAGAAAAGAAATGAGGAACTATGAATCTACATTACACTAGTGCTTTGAGAAATGTATCTGGCCAGTATGTGAGGACCATGAGTCATAACCTTTTCTTCGTTTGCTTTTTGTTGTGACGCACTGCTTCCACGTGAGGCAACTAACTGCTTTGCTTCATTCAGTTTTTGACAAGTACTGTAGCATCCTGTGTCGGACCGCAATCACAGTATAAAGGGATGCTTTTAAAAAAAAAAATTATCTGTTGTTCGTGGATAGACGAGGGCCCTGGCTGAACTGCAACCGGAATGCAAGTCGAGTTTCAACTGCAATTGAAACTCGGCCCCTGACTAAAGAGTGAAATCAGTGTTTCGAATGCAATTACAAACTATTTTCGTGACTACGCCGAAGTTACAAAAAAAAAAACAAAAAAAAAAACGCTTTGGCCCTAAAAGCGGTTGGATACATTAATTTATGTCCACAGTCCGAGTTTGCCCTCAATGACTAGTTGGAGTACATCACGAGATGAGCTGGCAGGGGACAAAAAACGGAAGAAAAGAAAAATAAAAAATAAAAAATAAGAAGAAGAACATGTTGCATCTTACCTGTATTGTGGCGCCATGCATTCTCTTAAGAACATGTGTGAGCACTCCCTGCTGGACGCCCCTTGTCGATATTAGGAAGTCCAAACGCTTTATCATTTTATTTTATTTTTTCCGTTGTACACCCATTTTGGCTGCGACCGACCGTTCACAGCAACGACCCCCGTTCGATGCAGCCATTAACGCGCTGCATCGGAAAAAAAATGGTTTGGAGAGGTACTGGTGGTTCAACAACGGTTGCAAGCATCAAGGTTGAGCTAGAACCCCGGTTAGCCCTGTTAACCATTCTCGAATGAACCCTGTAGTACAGGTACTTCAGATGCTAGGCACAAACGTTCTCTCTACAGGCCCTATGGGTAGATCCTTAGTAATCTCCTTCAAACTTATTTGGACTTTCCCAAACCACAGAAAAAAAAGCCCACCCGTTAACATGGAGGTCAACGCTGGCCTTGCACGGCGACCAAATTCAGCCCGAATTGTTGGCGCACAGGGCCCTCAACCAACGTACGGAAAAGGTACTTGCGGTATGAATCTAGTTGTGCACACGGTATATATTATAACCAGTTCGGATTATTTCCCCTATCCAGAGTCAAACCTATGACGCCCCCTAAGCAACTCAGGTATACCCACCCAACGAAGTTGTTGTTGGTTATTTAATCATGTTGTTAGTGCGACCTTGAGGTTATGCCTATCATGAGTAGACGTATGGATGCCATTCGTCCCCTTCGACCTTAGTCATCCACCAGACCCATTTCCAGTTGCTTGGGGTTTTACTATTGTTGTTATGGTTACGACCTCATAAGTTTTATATATATATATATATATATATAACTCCGACGAAACAGTTTGTCACAGCCCCTCGTTTGTTGTCCTCTTCTCCCTCTCTGCCTACGGTTTACCG